AAAAATATTTGCAATTCAATCAGTTGTTTTAAATGTGGTTCAGAGACCACCAACATCAAATTGACAAAAAAAGCTTAAAATTGCCAAACTGGGAAAACTGAGAAATTACTTTTCTATACACAATCCAAAAAAATATACAATATTGTACATTGTTATTAATCGACACAGCTCTGAAATTTGTGCACAACATAGATAAAGACGTGGCGGTCACTTCTGCATACTTAACTCAATTATTTTCTGACACTCTTGCTGCAAAGGTACGATATGCATTAAAATTATTTCACATAAGTGCCTTTACAAATGCAGTAGTATACACTTCAATTCTTTTCGTTTCTCCTCGATTAAAAAAACGATTATTTTATAAAGCTTTGAAATTTCACAAATCGCCTCATTAATAATTACCAAAAATATATTTGCTCTAAATTCTTTACAGCACAGCTCGCATCAATACGTACTATAACCACAAATCGGACAATGGAAATCGGTAAAGAGTTGCACATTGTTTGCAAAGTACAAGGACGGCCACCACCCAAGGTCACCTGGTTCAAGGATGGCAAATCGATTAATCGTAATCGTAAATTGTACAAATTTCGTCATTTCAAGTGAGTTGAAAAATTAGACTAATCTATTTGCAAGTATCTCGCTTTGCCTACCTTTTGANAATTTCGTCATTTCAAGTGAGTTGAAAAATTAGACTAATCTATTTGCAAGCATCTCGCTTTGCCTACCTTTTGATAAGTACTACATATGTATGTACATATTTATTATGTTTTCATGTTTTTATTTATAATCAATATTTTCACACATTGGAATCATTTATTTACTCTCACTTTTAAATACTTAGAAAGCGTTCTGAACTGATCATACGTTCGTTTAACATTTCCGATACGGGGCGCTATGAGTGTCGCGCTAAAAATAAAATCAATCAGGAGCCAGATCGACGCACCATTTTAATTAAAGCGGATCCAGGTAATTAGCCGTAGCAAGAATTGAGCTTACATACTTACATGCATATGTGTATATACTTTTTTTTGTAAATATAAATGCATATGCATAGTGGTAACGAAAGTATAAATGTACATATATTTTCATTTGTATTTATGCTTTGCTTGTACATATGTATGTATGTATGTCTTGTCTCTTCTCCGTTTCAGTGTTTTACTTTAAATATTTATATACGCTTAATTTTCACAGAAATTATTATGGTCCAATTAATTTGTAATTTATCGCAACATTTCCCTTTTTACACTACATAGTTAGTATTATTGCTTATGTAGCGAATGAGGATTTCCACCGATGTACATAAGTTTAATCATGTACATCCATATATACGTGCATATGTATAAA